TAGCTAAATGGATGCCTATTGAGGAGATACTCTTAAGTGAAATAATAGGAAACATATGTGTAAATACCAAATAGTTTCTCTAGTGTGAGAAACTGAAAGTGTAAATAAGGACTAAAAGGTATAATAGATAATGTGAAATAGGAAGAAAAGGTACAAGGGGGAAGGGAAGTGGGAGGGGTAGGGGAAAACAAAGAGGGGAATGGAATTAATATGAAAAGAAGGTAAAATGGAAACAAAGTCTTTGTAGGTAGGAAGGGGTACAGGGACTGAAGGGAGGGCAGGGGAATGGGGAAAAAATAAGAACGAAGATGGACAATGTAAAGGTGCAAATTTCCAATGATAATTGTTATTATATCATATACTTTAAATATAATAAATATAATTGATTTTTAATTAAAAAGTAAAGTGTTTTATTCAAAATTGAATATATATATATATATATACATACATATATGTATTATGTATGTATATCATTCTTCCCATGGTTTGGGTGCAATTGTGCAATCTTTGGTTATCCCAACCTAGGAAAATTAACATGGAGTGTTTAATCAGTGGAGTCTGAATAGATACAACTAGAAGAAAACTGTTCTTACTGGGTGTTTGTGTCTAACAGAGAAATTTCACTGCTATATCTACATCTTTAAATATTGTTCTGGGACTGTACCTTGGGGGCCTATGAGTGCAATCTGGCAGGAATCAGAACACTTGAAGAGGGCTAGGGATTTAGCTCAGCGGTTCGGTGGCCTGCCTTGCAAGGGTACTTGCAAGTGCAAGGACCTGAGTTCAATCCCCGGTACCAAAAAAAAAAGGACACTTGAAGAAAGACCCCCAAAACTTGAGATATTTAATGGAAATTTATAATCTGGTAGAGGTTTATTCAGATTATTCAGGGGTTCCATTTTAATCTCATTTTGATACGTACTTATTAAGTGATTTAAGGGGATTAAGGAAGATATGTTGGATATAAAAGCTCAGAGCACTTTCTACTATGTGCTACCTTGGTTATATGTGACTGAGAATTCAGTTTATGTCATGGGGACAGTGGTTTGGAGGTCCATCCTTCTTATCTGCTCATTCCCAATGATCCTAGACCCAATTTCAGCTACATACTGTACATAGCTCTTATTCCTCTCTTTCCTACCTAATTTATATCACTCCTTCCTTCCCTCTACAGTATCTCTCAAATTACCCTCTTTGCCTCACTCTTCTGATTATTTCTAATTCAGCTGAAAAGTTAACCTCAGGATTGGGTTGGCAATGGGATATAACAGAAAAAGGACAGGAGCTCCAGTGGCACAATCAGTTAGCGCACTGTACTTATACAGAAAAAGGACAGAAGCTGGCATTTTATTATCAAAAATACCTGGATCTTGATTCCACTTCCACTTAATCTTGGGAAAATTACATTCTTAATTTCCTCATTGAAAAAACGAATAACATGTATCACCAGCCTGTGATGTAAAGAAGACCCCATGCTCCAATATACAGCTCTCACCTGGACCCTGGCATCATACTCTTTGGCCACCTTGCTGAAACAGACTTCCCAGTTTGTTGCTTGCTGCTTACATTTTCTGATGGTGCTTTTCTAATAATAGGATTTTTTCAACATACACATGAAACTAGAAACACTACAAATATTTAATAGATCTCAGAATAAAGAAGTCTTGTCAAAGGATAAAAGTACCTGAAGAAACAAAATACCTATTTTGTAATCCCTGTCCTAATAAAATTTATCTTCTAGCTGTTCTCATTTATCTCTTTTTCAAGGTAAACTTTAGAATAATTTTTCTATAATTTCCCTAAAATTCTTATTAATGGTAACTAGGATCATATTAGACTTAAGTGGCAATATAATCCAAGCTGATGCCTTAATCAGGAAAGCAAAAGATTTGTCCAGAAAACCCTAGCAAATTCCTAGAGATGAGTAAGTCCACCTGCAGGTCTGTCATAAAATCTCCATGGAAGAGGAGTCAGAGGCAAGAGCTGTTTCTGTGAGCATCTCTGCAAGACTGGCACAAAGATATCCAGGCAATAGAGCACACTTAGCTAAGAGGGCCACTGTCTACCCCTCTCTGCCCCAGGTAGCCAAGCAACTTTGATACTCTGAGGATTTGGAAGAATCACTATGGGGAGTATCTGTACCTTGCAGATCAAGAGTCTGGAGCAACCAGCAGAGCAGTGGTCTCTCAAATGCCTATAAGATGTTGGATGTTTGGCCAAATACTGATGGCTTACCCTTTCTTTATCACTAACAGAAAAATAATTTTGTTCTGTCAGCCACATCCCCAACACGTATGGATGAATCATGTTTGGTCAAAGCCCACAGTGGCAGCTGCATTTCCCCTTAGCCAGTGTTTACTCTAGAAGTGGGCAACATGATCCAGCTTTGGCTAGTTAGATGTAAGGGGAAGTCCACTGGGGGCGGGGATAAAAATTGTCTTGCTTGTAAAAAGACACAGCCTTGTAAGAAGAAAGCTCTTTTTCTCTGCCCCTTTTTTCTGCCTTGAACATATACATGTGTGAACATTATGTTTGGACTTGTTGCTCTTCGTATTTGGATACAAGAAAAGGAAAAAAATCAATTTTCCCAGGTTGACAAAGTGAAAACAAAGAGTCTAGGTCTCTGTTGGTTTTGTTGAGTAAGCTAATGTATCATACTTGGAACTGCCTACCCCCAGACCAATGGTGGCAAACCTATGGCAAGCATGTTATTGTGTTTTTCTTTCAAGACAAAAGATGTTAATGTGTGAGTTGTTTTTTCTAAACTAAAACCTCTGTATTCAGGTTTAACTGCAGTGTTGGCATTTTGCAATAAATGAATTTTGGGCTACAGTTTGGCACTCGATCTCAAAAAGCTTTGCCATCACTGTCCTAGACTACTGATGAGAGACAGTTAATTATTTTATTATTTTTGTATGTGTGTTTTGTTTGTTTGTTTTTGGTACCGGAGATCCAACGCCAAGTCTTTGTGTGCTTGCAAGGCAGGAAACAATGAGCTAAATCCCCGGCCAGATTCCTTTATTATTTAAACACTATTGGTGAAGTTGTTTTATTACTTGCAACTGAAAGCATTTCCAACTGGTATAGCCCTTAAAAATGGAGATTAGAGCAGAGCAATGTGTGTCAGCTTATTCCTGCAAAAAATCATGGAAAGCAGGAAATATCAATAGACCTAATAAACTAGCAAAGCATAAATATTAATATAAATGTAACTTCTACACCAACAGGCAGTGAGACCTGAAGAGAATAATGTTTACCTATAAAATAATTTGAAGAGTGACATTTTATACATTTTTTTCCTTTTAGAAAGATAGCGTATATCTGTTATTTAAATCTCCCCTTTTTCCCCCTAAGCTTACTAGTTTTTATTATATGCCCCATCTATCTCCTGTTAGGTTTCTTCAAGGCATTTTATGTTTTGGGCTGCTATTTCTCTCAACAGGTCAAATTTCCCTGAAAATTTATCTTCTGTCTTCTTTTCACCCCACACTTGTCCTAAATGATGACTTCTTTCCTGCTCTTCCCCCAACCCATTCTTCAAACTGTTCCTTCTCCATTCTGGGCAAATACATTTACCCTCCAAGGTTCATAGGCTTTTGATTGGACTGTTTTCTGGAGGTCATCCAACCCTGATTGACAGGAAAAGGTAACATTTGGAATCTGGCAAGCTTGAGGTTAAAACATGTCGTGTCAGCAGTTGCTAAACAACTGTACATCAGATTAGGTCAAGAGTTTGTGAAATGTTTGTGCCAAACGAAATGTCAAAGAACAAAGTGTATGAAAGAAAAAAAAAACAACCTCTGTGCCAGTTAAAATGTCACTCCGTCCTGCAGCAAGTAATTTATTCCTTTCTGTCTTTATCACTGTTCTTGTTTCACACATACTAATATTGCCTCTAAATAGTTGAAATTAATAGTGGCATTATTGGTGGCTTAGTGTGAAAACTAAAGAGCTAATTTAGAATCACTTGGTCAACTTAGGCTCATTTCGGAAACAGAAATTGTTAACCCAACCTTAAAAATAAACTGTTATCTGAATGTGCAAAGCATTTACACTGCATTATTTGTACCGTTAATTTTTATATCTATAAAGAAAAGGTACAGAGGAAGATAGTATATATTTTTAGAATGCTGTACCCAAGGAATTACAAACATAACAAAAATGCTATAAATAGGATTACTTGTTCCACACAGTCCTCAACAAATGGAAAGCCACTGGTTTTTTCCAATGACTATGAAGCAAAATTCCACAGTGTTCATCCCCATTTTCTCCCTGGTTTTAATTTCTAATTTGGCAGAGCTTTCCAGAGCATATCTCATCTCCCTCCATGCCATTTGCTTCTCTTAGAGCAATTTTCTGCTACATATTAACAGCCAAACAGTAGAGAACTGGCCCTGCCCTTGCCACTATGCTGCCTGGTTAATAAAACAAAATGCTTCTTTGTAGGTATCACACTAGGATTAGGACAAGGATAGCTGGATGCTTAAAGCACAACGCTTAAGAGAGCACCACTCTCAGGTGCTGCCCCTGCCCCTGCATGGCCCTGAGAGTGAATGTTCCCTTAAATGTTGTAACCCAGGCACCTCACTTGCTTCCACCTAGTACTGGCCCTTGTAGGCATTGAACTGCCCTGGGAACTGAAGAAAGGGACTTAGAAGATAAAAACTCTACAAATCTGATGATGGAAACTGGTTTCATAGACAATTGTATTTATTCCACATATTAGAAATTTTACAATGGCAGTTTGGAGAGTAGTAAGAAGCCTGTATTGCTGAAATATGATAAACTTCTCAAAAAAGAGTCCTATTATTGGTTTGGAAAGGCTTGATAGTAAGAAAAGATCATGAGGGACCACCATATTTTAGTTTGGGCTTCAACTTTTATTTGAAGCTCAATTTTGTCAGGACAAAGATAGACTGAGAAAAATTGGACAATAGAACTGCAAATGATTCAGAATCTCAATTTACTAAATTAGATTTATAGATATTTACCAGTAGCAATTCCTCATGTTCAGTCTTGAAGATACTCCTCCTAGAGTCAGGTTGGTGCAAATAATTAGTCATCAGATAGATGCAGGTGAACACTAAAAAAGAAGGGCAAAACTTTCCATCAGGCCAAGGAAAAGTCCTGCCTTGCCCCAGAATGTTCCTCTCAGTGTATTCATTCTCTCAACCAACATAAATTCTGCTCCTACCATGTACTCAACAAACTCTGTCAAGTCTACCTGCAAAAGAATTCTAAATTCATACTTCACATCATCTGCACAGTAACCATCTAAGTCAAGCACCATCTTCTCGCTCCTGGAGTAATGGCACTACTCTCCTATTTCTACTCATGACTTTCTACAGTTCATTCTTCAGCCAGCAGTCAGGCCAATCTTTTTGAAATGTGAGACAGATCATGATGTATTTCTGTTCAAAAACCCACCATTGGTTTCCTAAAAATTAGAAAAAAAATCCAAACTCCTGCTCTCGGCTACAAAGCCTGCGTGATCTTGCCTATGCTCTTATCTTACTTCCCACCATATCCAACACACTCACTTCACTCTAGCTACAGAGGGTTCTGGCCTATTCTTGGGCCAAGAATGCTTTTGTCTCAGGACTTCTGCACATATCCCTGCTAGTTGAGTCATTTATTCCCATAATATTAGCAATACTCCCTATGCTTAATACTTAAACATATATAGTTAAATGTCATCTTATCTCAGAAGGTTTCATAACCACTCTATCTAAAACAGTAGTTTTCCATCACTTTCCATCATTTCTGATGTAATTTTCTTTAACTGTCTGCCAAACTTTTCTCTCCCCTCAGTAGAATTTAAGCTCCATAAAAGTTTACTTTGTTTCATTCATTTTTATATCCCCAGTACTTCCTGGAACATGCATATTTGTTGAAATGAGTATAAATACATGTAGGCTGTATAGTAATCCTTGTCAGTAGTAGGGAGTATTTTTTGGCGTCTCAGTTATTTTCCATTGGCCTAGCCCTAGACAAACTAGCTTTTCAAGATTCTTGCTCTCCCTTTGCTTTCTAGTTGACTAGATGAGGTATGTGAGAGAGACAGTTCAAGGTATAAACAAGATTTTTAGCATGAGCAAATGGAAGAATAGAGTTCTACTTATCGAGCCAAGTCAACTACGAGAAGAGCAAATTTTGGAGCAAGGGGTTGTTTCAGTTTAAATGTGAAGTATCCTCCAAAGACACATGTATTGAGAACTTGGTCCCAAAGCAGCAGTGTTCAGAAGTAGGGCTTTAGGAAGATGATTAGATCATTGGTGTGCTAACCTCGCTCTATTGATGTGTTCATAGCTGAATAGGCTATTGGGAAGAGGACCTAGACAGAAGACATCAATCACAAAGGATGTGACTACGAAGGGCTTATATTTTCTCAGGCCCTTTCCCCTTCTTTCTGCTTCCTGCCATGAGGTGAGCAACTTTCCAGCACCATGCCCATCCACCACAATATTTCTGCCTTGGAGACAGCTAACCATGGACTGAAACTCTGAAATCATGAACCAAAATAAACTTTTCTCCTTTAAGTTGTGTATGTCAGATATGTTGTCCCAGCAATGGAAAGGTGACTGAAACATAATATAGTTGATTTTTGACATAAGTTTAAGATGCCTAATTTACATCTAGGTGAAGATGTCAAGCAGACAGTTGAATATAAGGGCTTGGAGTTCAAAGGAGAGCTCCAGGTCAGCCATAACATTTGGCAGCATGGAAGGTATTAAAGGCAGGAACCATGTATGATCTCCAACAGGTGAGCATAGACAGAGTAGAGTTCTAAGAACTAAACCTTGAGCACTCCAGCATTTGGGATTTAGGGAGATGAGAAATTATCCATGAAGCATGCTGAGGAGCTAAGAAAAAAATAGTAATTGAAGGAGGATTAAATACGAGAAATAATACAGTGTATTTGATATAATGGAAATAACCCAGTGAAAAAGAAAAAATTAATGATGTAAGCAAGTCATTGAAGGCATGATGTTCTAGAGTAGGAAAGAGGGGTACAGTGCAGAGGTGGTAAGACTGATATTAAGTGATGCACAAACAGATCACCCATCATAACAGGAGAGGCAGAGTCTATGAGCACCAATGCCAGAAGGTGGTTAATATGGTGGTAGGAGCTTGTGGAAGTTCTTTTCTGGTTGATTTTATTTTCCTCAGTGAAATTATGAATTGGAAGTCTCAGTGGGATGAGAAAATCATAGGGAATAAGGTGTTCAGAGGAATAGTTTGGGTGGAGGTGAGAAAGTGGGATGTTTGAAGAGTGATACAGGGAGTTCTAGGAGTAGTTTATTGAAATGGTTGGATAGGGGACATAGTCATAGGAGTAAGGACTGAGATGGGACTAGGGACAAAAACACACTAGTGACTGGTCAGGGTCTGGATTATATGGTCTTTTCTATGTAACTTTGACACGTGTGCAACAACATAGGTGCTCAACAATCTAGGCAATTGTCTTTTAATCTTCACAATAATGCTCAGACAACCCCAAGAATTGAAGATTGTTTTAGACTCCAATTATTTCACCTGCATTGCTGATAACCAAGTGCCTCTTTTCTGGTCCATGGTGTCTTTTTTTTTTTTTCCTCATTGAGTTTATTGGTACATTTTAGGTATACAGTACAGTTACATTCATCATTGGGATCTTGTGCCTTTATATGACAGGTGTTGGTTCTCATTTTTTCCCCTTGTCCCTGCCCTCGCTTCACCCCCACCTCCCCTCCCCATTTGTAAACATTTTATTTCCATTTTTTCATTTTCTATTTTTTTCCTTTCCCTTATTACATGGTGTCTTTATATCAGATCCAACAACAATGTATGCCATCCTTCTCAAGCTAGGAGTTTCTAATGTCCACCTCAGATAGAAAGAAAGCTCTGCTGTAAGGGCTTATGTAATTACATGAGACCCACATATTTTAAGGTCAATTGATTAGTAACCTTAATCACATTTGCAGTCACTTTTGCTAACTGACACAACATAACCACAGGAAGAACACCAGGGTACAAGTCTTACAGGAAAAATTCTACCTATCACAACCCCATAGCAAAGAAGGGAGAAACCAGTAAGGCTTCCATTGGTAATTAGTGTCTTCTAGAGTAGAAAATAAAGCAGATTTGTTGAAGAAAGGTAATTTTAGTGCTAACTTTGGTAGCACAAATACTAAAAGTAATTTTAACATTTTGCTTTTTGGCTATTTTCTGCCTCTCAAATTCCAAAGTCATTTGTCTCACTTCATCACTGCAAGAAACTGACAAAAAGGTAGGAATTCCTGATCTCTGCTAAAGTACCTAAGTGTTTCAGATAACACTCCTTGGAGGGTCTCAGTCCTTGCTGTGGCCTCCAGCAGAAAGCTATTATACCACTATAGAGTACCCTTCCCAACACAGGAAAACCTACATGCACTCTTTGTGGTTTAGCCAGTGTTGTTAGTTATTAAATACCAATAAGGACAACCTAGCCTAGAGGCTGTTAATTAATGAACAAACCTTGTGAGCAAACTAAACTACTCAGCTCCAGTTAACAAATTCCAATAAGAAAAGGAAGTGAATGGAAAAATACTTCCTTCTAATTAGGTAAGAAAGAAACATTGAGTTTTCAAATCTGAAACAAAGAGCTATTTTTCACTGTACCCTGCTCCTGGAGAGAAGGGAGGAGGATACCTTCAAGCCAGGAGGTCAGAGAAAGAGTTGAGGGAGGACCAACTGTCACCTGAAGGAAAAAAAGATAAGCTGCTGCATTGTCCAAGCATGGCATAAAAGTGGTCTGGAAAGTTCTCCTGAGAGGAGCCAGCTCCAGGGGCCAAAATGTTTAGAAACATGTAAGAACCAAGCCCTGCATTCCTAAAATCACCATTTTACTTCAGGACTGCTAAAGCTGTCTCCTTAGTGTCTCTGGCCTCCTCTGCCCACTGTTAAGCCACATTGTACTCAGCAAGAGCCAGCTGTTTTTGACACAGACAATGAAAATAGAGAGGTATGCAGCTGGTTCCAGAATTTCTTTTAGGGAAGAAGCTACCTTGTTTAGGAAAGCATCTTGAAAAATTGATGGGAGGATAAGAAAAGCCTCCAAAGTGGTATTGGCAAGAGATAACAAAGAAGCAACTAAGCCAGGAATGGTGGTACATTCTGTAATCCCAGAACAAGGGAGGATCGCAAATTCAAGCCCAGCCTGGCCAACTTTGTGATTAAGCAAAACCCTGTCTCAAAAAAAAAATTTTAATGTAAAAGGTCTGGGGATATAGCTCAGTGTGAAGGCCCTAGGGAAGAAGAAAGGGAAGGCACAAGAAGAAGGGAGGGGAAAGCGAAGAAGGAGCAGCAGCAACAGCAGCAGCTAAATTTCTCCACTTAAAAAGTGAAAAGGAAAGGGCTAGGGGGTGTGTGGATCAGTAATAGAGTGCTTGCCTCACAAGTATGAGGCCCCAGGTTTAATACTCAGTACCATTAGGGAAAGAGGCAGATGAAACTTGAAAAGCAAAGGAAAAGAAAAGTAGATGGGGGAAGAGAAGGAAAAAGGAAGAGAGGCAACCTAGCAGGAGTTTGTAGTATGTAGGGGAGGTGGCAAAAATGCAAAGAGCCCAGGCATGGTGGTGCATACCTGTAATCCCATCACTCAGGAGGCTAAAGCAGAAGATCAGTGCAAGTTCAAGGACAGCCTGGTCTACATGGTGAGTTCAAGGCTGATATGAACTACAAAGCAAGACCCTGTCTCAAAAAAACAAGAAAATGGGGATTTTTAAGAATAGAGTCATCTGATATTAACCTTGTCATTTACTGTCTAGGGCTGACCTGCATCTTCCACCAACAAAGTCTTACAACACCCTGCTAACTGTTGTGAGTGGAGGTGCTTTGGGAAGCAAACTAAGCAGAAGGATTTAGGTTCTGTGATTAGGTCTACATGGAATGGAGAATTCAGCCCAAGTTAGTAGTCAGAGCAGGGTGACTAGGAAAACCATCAGCCGTGGGATTGTGCATAAGCCTAGGAATGGCAACATACTTTTCCCCAAGATGGTTTTGAGCCAATCTTAGCACTTACTATCGGGCTAAGTAATCCTAGCTGATTTCATAGTTACATAA